GGAGGGAAGGGGAGGAAATTTGGAACTCAGAATCTTGTGGAAGTGAATGTCAAAAACTAAAAATAAATAAATATTAAAAAGAGAAATAAATCCTAGAAGTTCACCTATGAAAGGAAGAATTAAATATAGGATAATAATTTGGGGTTATGGAAATGTTTGTTTTCCTAAGGAAGGGAGAAATCTCAAGAGATTTGCAGACAGGAGGGAAGAGGCTAGAGAGATTAAAGATGGGAGAACGGGGTGTTCTCGGGTCCACATCAGATTTATCCCACACCTATTACAAGTATAAAACCATTTGCAAACTTTAAAGTATTATGTAAATGTTTATTTACTTTTGCTATTGTTGTTGTTGTCGTTATTTATTAAAACAGATGAGAAAACGGATGTTTAGAGGTCACCCAACTGATCAGAGTCCACCCCACTTAATCTGTAGCAGAACCAGGACTAAAAGTCATATTTTCTGACAAATGAAAGAGAAAAAATACTGGATTTTTTGTTATTTGGGGTCTTCATTGTAGCCTATTTTTTTGCTTCTCTCCTGATCCCTTTATATTGAATATAAAGTTATTTATTTTTATGGTATAAAATACTGATCAAAACACAACTTGTTTCAAAAATTAAAAAGCTGGCATGGCATTTCACACTGTACCTTGTGGCCTTATAGGATTGTGATCTGCATTGACAGAAAGGAGGGCTTGCACCAGTGAAATTATAGGAAAGTAGAAACAAGTTGATGTAAAATCATATTTGTTGGGGAAAACATAAGAAGAGAAATGATCAATTTTGAGCATTTGTTGTCAGAAACTGATCATTAAAATAGAATGATATTTTTTCAAAGACATACATTTGAAATTAAAAATAGTCTTATTTAATGATAGCTGGATTCAGGGTAATAACCTAAAGTTATTTGAGAGTAGAGTAGCATGTTTATTAAATTTTGTCCCAAGGAAAGTGGTGATTATCAATGTGTTGTTTTACTGTATATTTTCATTAAAATATAAAATGTGCTCCAGATAAAACTTTGTCATGAAATCCTTCATCATTTAAAATGTACCAATTTAAAATTGGTATCTTAGGCTTGCTCTTTTCTCCACTCCAAGACCCCAAATACACTATAAACTGACCATGAATTTCATGTAATAGTTCATTTTGATATTTGATATAAAATACTCATGAAAGGCTTATGATATTTTTGAAAGAAATGCCTAATATCTTAATACATTTAAACTTATTTTTCCTTAAAATGTAAAAATAGATTTATTTAAAATATGTGGCCTACAATGTGTGCTATTCTTCATATGTAAGAACAACCTATCTGACCCAGTATCAACAAATACTGTACTTCTGGATATTTTTTTTTTTTTGGAATGGTGATGTATTGTGCTGAGCTATTCACACTTTGTTGCCCAGTCTCCCTTGTGAATAATGATTTATATTTGTAAGACAGCTGGTTGAGCTTCAGAGTACAGTTTGTGGTCATAGAACAGTTTTTACTGTGCCAAGCTAAATAAACCATATGGGGATTGAACCTGTAACCCTGGCCTCATTAGCACTGTCTGCATTCTCTAAACTTATGTTCTAATATAATGAGATTAGTAGTATGATTTCAAAGTAAAGAACTAAACACTGTTATTCTGTTGTTAGAAGTTATGAGAAGTGGAGGGGGTGGGGGTGGGTGGGGATTCATGTGGCCTAATCCATTTAATTTGGACAAGTATTTATATTACCTATTTATGTTTCATTCTTTGAATGCCATGTATATGGCAGTCTCTTCGTTGTTTGTAAATAAATTGTTTACAGTTTTTTTATTCTCATAATATTGAAGAATAAGTCAGATTCCATTGTAATTATAATTATCCCAGTGCAGCAACAAGTTGATGTAAAATCATATTTGTTGAGGAAAACATAAGAAGAGAAATGATCAATTTTGAGCATTTGTTATCAGAAACTGATCATTAAAATAGAATGCTATTTTTTCAAAGACATACATTTGAAATAAAAAATAGTCTTATTTAATGATAGCTGGATTCAGGGTAATAACCTAAAGTTATTTGAGAGTAGAGTAGCATGTTTATTAAGTTTTGTCCCAAGGAAAGTAGTGATTATCAATGTGTTGTTTTATTGTATATTTTCATTAAAATATAAAATGTGCTCCAGATAAAACTTTGTCATGAAATCCTTCATGACAGTAGAATTTCTTTTTGGTAAGGACAGTAAAAACTGGTTTATTTGGTAACCAGGGTCTGATATTCTCAAGTATCCAAGTCCAAAGTAAAGGACTGGTAAAATTGTGAAGTTTTAATTCAATTCAGCAATATTTATTCAGAAGTAACTACACCTGCAAGTCACTGAGCTAGGTGCTACAGAGAAATAAAAAAGATGGTCAGTCTCCACCTTTAGAAAACTGATAGTCCAATAGGTGTGACAAGATATGTAAAAAGTATTCTACCAGGTGGAATGTGGTAAGAGCCAAGGAGGGAGGGAGGGGTCTAGACAGAGAAAAGAATCTGTGAAAGTCATCTGAGAAGACTTAATGGGGGAGTTAGCACCTAACCTGGGATTTGAAGAGAAATCAAACAGGAATTGTTATTAAGCTCTCCACATGTGTTTGCCACTGTGCTGGAATCTGAGAGGATAGATTAAAAAGTGACAGTTCCTGCTTTCAAGAAACTTAGATCTGTTGTGGAGGGTACACTATGTAAAGTGTAGTCATTGTGAGATATTTACTAAATAAATGGGCATTGGTTGGAGGAGGCTTTAACAATTGGGGGAATCAAAAAGGGCCTTTTGAAGAAGGTGGCATACGAGTTTAGTCTTAAAGAGATATAAGGGTTTCAAGAGGTTAGGAAGGGAGAGTCTTCTATTCACTAGGATGTAGGCAAGGTTGGGGGAGTGTAGAGTGTGTGAGAAGGTATATTGTGTAATCATGCTGAAAAACAAGTCCAGAGACAAATTGTAAAGGGGTTTAAATGCCCAGCATAGGATTTCATATTTTCCAAAGGCAATGGAGAGCTAACTACCAAAGCTTCTTTAGCAGGAAAGTGACATCGTCAGAGCAGCACCCTTGGAATATTAACTTGGCAGCTATGTTGAAAATGGATTACAGTCAGAGAGGCTTGTTGAGAGATGTATTTGTGGGAAGGCAATAAGCATTTATTATAGTGCCTACTATGTTTAGCGCTTTACAAATATTATCTCATTTGAGAGATTATTAGGAGACCACTGCACGAATTCAAGTGAGAGGTGGTAAGAGCCTGAACTAGGGATAGTTATGGCATGAGTAGAGAGGGAGGGGATGGATATTTAAAAAGTAAGTTAGCAACTAATTAGGCTTGGTGTGGAGGGAATGGAGGGGAGGGGTTGGTGAGTGAGAGTGAAGAGTGAAGGTTGCAAACCTGGGTGCCTAGAAATAAGGTGGTACCCTGGACAAAATTGAGTGAGAATGCAAGAAAGAAGGTAATAAGTTCTGTTTTAGATATGTGAAGATGCCTGTGGGACATCCAGCAGCAGCTAGAGACCACGAGCTAGAATTCAGGAGAGAGTTGAGTACTGGATACGTAGATTCATCTGCATTAGAGATGAGAGTAAGATTTCAAATGACAGAGAGGATGAGAGAACTAGGCATGGGACATGGTCTATGTATGATAATGATATGTGTGAGAGAATGAGATTGAAGAATAGCCAAAATCTGGGGGAAATACAGAATTATAAAGGGGAGGAATATGGAATAAGGCTGAATAGATATGTTCTATACTGATTGTGGGGAACCTTAAGTACCAGGCTAAGGCTTTTATTCTTTTGGCATTGAGAGGTCACAGAAGGATTAAATGAATGACAGAAAATTATATTGGTATCTGAGTGAAGGATGGAGTGAATAAGGGAGAAATTAAAGGTCATGAAATGAGTTAGGAGAGTATTAAAATAACCTAGATAAATGAGAGTTTGAACTAAGTCCATAACAGTATGAGTAGAAATAAATAGATAAGTGACAGTAATATTGTGGTCATAGAATCAACAGGAATTAGGATTTGATTGGATGGGAGTGATGTTGAAGGGGGAATCAGGTGACTCTTAAGATTTTAAGCCTTTTGTCATCAACAGAAATAAGGAAGCTAGAAGGAATGGACTGTGTGATGAGCTGAATTTTAAATGTGAATTTGAGATGCCATTTGCAAATTTGGAAGTTTAACTTATACTTATTTAAAATTACTGTGCAGGAGTTCCACTTTGGGCAAATTAAATAGTAATGTTATAAGCACAAAGTCAATAGAACACATGTGAGAAGTGTTGAGTATATCACAAAACCATAATTGAATCTACTTTATACAATTATACAAACAACTGGCTCTTAGTAAGTGATTAACAAATTATTGTTGACTGAAGTAACTAGACAAAACAAAAAAAAAAAGTTTAGATCTTAAGTTCAGTGTGAGCGTACCGCAGTTAGGTTCAATGTGAATATGCCACAATTTTCCCCTCTCTATCCTATTTTAAATTTGACCCATGTTTCTTGTATTTTCCTCTCTTTCCAAACCTTCCTGTCAGTCTGTCTTTCTTCCAACTCAGGGAAGTGGTAGTCCAGTCCTTTCTAGTGACCTCTTTCAAACCCAGCAATACAAGATTTTATTCCTCTAGAGACCTAGGAATCCTGAGGATTTCCTTCTGACTTTACAATTCACTATTGAGAAAGCCCAAACTACCAACTAATAATAGAAGCTTACAATTATGTAGAACGTTAAGGTTTTCAAAGTACTTTGTATCCACTCTCATGTGATTCTCACAACAATTTTTTAAGCTAGACGATAAAAAGATAAAAAGGTGAGGAAAACACACTTTAGTTGAGGTGACCCTTGTGTATAGCCAAGCTTCTGCTTCTATCTAGTCCTCTTTCAAGACACCATGTTGTACTTCCTGGACCTAATTTACAAAGCATTTCTTTCACACAATTATGCCATAATGTTACAGTTCATATAATCTCAATCTTGTTTTGTTTTTTACAGTTCTTCTTTACGAAGTGTCTCTACTACATCTTCAAGACCTTCTAAAATATGTTTGGTGTGTGGGGACGAAGCTTCAGGATGTCATTATGGGGTGGTGACCTGTGGCAGCTGCAAAGTTTTCTTCAAAAGAGCAGTGGAAGGTAAATGTTCCTGTGGGTGTTCCCTTTCTACTTTTTTTCTCTTTTGTAGCATATTTGTACAGTAAATTCTTTAGCATTATTGAAAAGCCTTTAGAAATATTTTTTGAAGTAACTTGTCAGCAGTGAATAGTAATACTGTCTTATCTGAAATCCACCTGGAGGTTTCCTATTGAACAATCCTTATATAAAAGACAGACTTTTAAACTGTTAACTTTGATCAGCTAGTCAGAAGTATTTCTTCTGGTTCATTCAGGCTCTTTGGAAGGGGGAAAAATGCATTTTACTTCAAGTACATCTTGAGTGAATGGAATATTATTTGAATATAACCATGCCAATAATTACAGTGTCATAGTGTTACAAAGCTGCTTTTTCTGTACTCCAGTATCTTAAAAGACAAAGCTTGTTGCATTTAGTGAGCAAACATTTTCCCTAGTATGTCCATCACTTTACTGAAAGAACTAGGTGATCATCAGAAGGACAGTGAAGGTGGATTAGTCTTTATTAAGTTTTTTAGAGGCAAATGAAAATGGATTAAAGGCCATACTTCATATAAAGTAGTTTGATAAACAAGTTGCAGAACCCAAGTGCATTTTGAATGTAAATATTTCTTTTTTTCTTAGTTATCTAGCAGTTTCTTCAAGGGCTGCCTCAGGTAAAGTGCCTGGTAAGAACTAGCTCTGATAGGTTAGTATTGATAATAATCTTAGATCCTGGATTTAGAACGAGAGGAAATCAGATTATAGGATGATAGAATTAGAACTGGAAGGGACCTGAAAGGTCATCTAATCCAACTCCCTCATTTTACAGATGAAGAAACTGAGCTCCAAAGAAATTAATAACTTGATCATGGTCATGTAGCAAGTGGTAGGGCTGGGATTGAAATGAAGATCCCTCTGAATCCAAATTCAGCACTCTCTTCATAGTACTGAGCTGTTTCCATTTTATCAAGGAGAAATAATATTCTTAAAACCCTTTTTGTTTATCCTGATTTTCTCATTTCCAAGTCATGGGTGTTACTTGATAATTAGCATGGGATTGATGACTGATCTTTAATAGAAGAATAATCAAATGCTTTTAACTATTCATGAAAACATGTATTATGATTAATAGAAGCATGGCTGTGCGATTACAATATGTCTTCTCTAAGGAGATCGACATTAAGACCTTTTGAGTCTTGATTTTTCTTAAAATTCTCAAGGAAATATATTGCCTCTTTAGAGACTAGACAGAATTTACTCGTTTAATCTTGAGTTTAAAGAAGAAGAAAACAGTGATGCCATTTAATGCATGAGGAAAATTTATAATGAAACTTTACCTGTTGTTTTGTGGTCAAATTTTCTGTTGCAGTAAGGAAAATATATCTTTGACATTCCCCTAGTTCTTTTTCTCCATTTCCTGTTCCAGTAGATATATTTGAAAAAATGTTTCTTCTTCCCCTCATTTTAGAGGTGGGGGTTAGTGTGTGGAATATGGCATATACTGCGAGATGTGGTCCGCATGTTGCTTTTGCTTATCTGCCATTTTTCTCTTTTTAGTCTAATTTTTGTTACAAAAGATGGCTTTTTGAAGAGACGGAGGATGTTTGGAAGTAAATGTGACATACAAACAAAAAGCATCAGCTAATTTTTTAAAAGATAATTACTCTAGAAAAATATTCTTTCTTCTAATACTTATGGATAAAATGATATACAGAGAGATTAAATGACTTCCCCCAGGCCACAGGGCAAATATGTGTTTGCGATGTAATTAGAACCCAGCTTGTTTAATATCCAGTTTATAGCCAAATCCTAGGCTAAGTTAAATGTGAAATTCACTTTGAACTCCTTGAATGAATGGTATTGGATAAATATAAAATTTTATTTTATAGCATAGTTTTCAACACTTTTACTCGGTCTATATGTCTCTCAGATACAACCACCACTAGTAACAAAAGTTCTAATGAGGAAACAGATGAGAGTCCATTATGATTTAAAGTCATGTGAATTTGTGCTTATATGAAATGGGTTTGGCTCTAGTGTCCAAATCCCAATAAGGTGAGACCAGTCTCATGTCAGTTTCCATGCTTAGATACTTCCTTCTAAGACTGAGTGAGAGATATTTACAAAGCTCTCTCATGAAATCACTTTACCTCTGTATCAAGATTTGTAATTAATCTAAGGACTTTCTCAGTGTATTTAGTTGTAGAGTTTCAAGAAGAGTCATGTATTAGTCAACCCTACAAATACTTTCCTCTAGATTTGAATTTTTTCATGATACCACTCCAGTTGTTTCTAGATCAAGTTCATTTATAGAATTAGATGATTTATCCCACAATAGTCTAATTTTTTAATTTACCTTAGAGTTTTCTGGTAGAAAAGATGACCTGAATAATATGTCAATAGTGAGATGAGATGATTATTCTTGGACCATGATGAATTCAGAGACAACCCTTTCCTATTTGAGTCAGATATGTGCCCCTGTAAGTATTGTTGTCGCACAGATGTCTGAGTTTGAAGATACAAAAATTATTCTGCAAAATGAAGAAACTAAATTTTGAAATCATACTAAGAAAATTCATTTTAAAAAATTTAGAATGGTTTCATGTGATGATATAAAATATATAGGTATCTGCTCTTGAGATCATCATCAAGGCATAAGTTTTTAGAGCTAAAAACTGGTTTTAGTCATCTAATTGAAATTTCCTATTAAGTGCCTTATTCAGCATCATAGTTGCATCCCCAGGTCTAATGAATGAAAACTTTATGGACAACACAGTAGAATAAATTTTTGTTTTACAGAATAAATAAAATCAGGGAAATGATTTGATGGATTTTGAGTCCTCATGACTCAACAATTCTGTAAGATTCACCAAAATTCAACAGACATTTATTAAACAGTTATCAGCCAATGAATAGGAATTAAGTTCCTCTATATGGCATATACTATGTTAAACACTGGTGGTACCAAAGACAAAAATGACCCCATACCCCACTCTCAAGGAGTTTATATTCTATTAGGGAAGGCAATACATTCATATATAACTGTATATAAAATAAATATACACACACTAACGTATATGCATACATAGTATGCATATGTATACATATACATAGACAAATACAAGGTAGCTTAGAAGAAGGAGGGTGCTCTTGGTTGGAGGGGTCAAGAAAGGCTTCAAGGAGAAGGCCATTGTCTTAGCTCAGGCTTGAAGGGTGTCAGGGATTCTGTGAGGTAGAGGTGAAGAAGGAGCTCATTTCATGGCAAGGACAGTTAATGAAAAAGCATGGAGACAGTAAAGAGCATCATGTGTAAAGAATGAACCTGGAAAAGTTAGTTAAGGTCAAATTGTGAAGAAATGAACGTTATGCTAGGAGTATACATTTTATCTATATCTATATCTGTGTGAAAACCAAGTATATCTCAGTTCTAATAGGTCAAATAACCTCTTTGAGATGCAAGGGCATTCAGCAGCACTTAACACATTTAAACTACAAGTATTGATATTTTCACTATCCCTTCTATTATTGCCAGACGAAATAAAGATTAATTTAGGTTTGCAGTTTGTACTTGAAGCATCTATGATACATTCTGGTGTGTTTTTTGTACCAGAAATTCTTCTACAGTGAATCTGATATTTTCTAATTATTCACTTCTTTGATAGCTTAAGTAACCCACCTTTCAGTAGGTAGAATCTCTGTGATTTTGCCTGTATAATTTTTGTCTGTGTGTTAGAAAATCACTTTCAAGTTAATGAGATTTTGGGATTTCTCCAGAAGACTGACATTTCATCACTTGGTACCACACCCTTCATATGGTCAATTTTTTTCTTTATTTTTGGAAGTGTTATTAGAACTTTTTTCTCTCTGTTAGTTCATTCTTCTTCAATTGGCTCACTAATTCCTTAAGGGGATTAATTGTATCTAAAAATTTATTGTTTATTCTGATAAGGTTTTTTTTTTAGTTTTGAGTTAGTATTCCTAGTAATTTGAGATATTATTGATTTTATGATTTGAGGTTTGCAGCCTTACATTTTATCTTTTGTTTAGTCTTTCCTCTTTTTTAGACCATTTATTCTTGTTTCTGTTACTGCAAAGTATATATATTGTGCTTGATGCATTTAGACATTGAAATAGTGCCTAGTTATTCAAGTGGTCCAGAGCAACATATCTTTTAAGAAGTTTGCATCCTTAGATAGATTTTCATCATATAAAATTGGTATTCCAAACATAACCATTTATTATCTAGAATACCCAAGAGTCATTTAATTTTTTGCTTAACTAAGACATCAGTCACTTTCTTGCCTTAATAAGTACACTGATCATAAAGTCTCTTGCAGTGCCTCCTGGTTAACATTCCAATCATCAATTGTGATTTTATTGCTCTGTATATTTGAAAGGTATAAGAAATTAGCCTGAATGGATAGTGACATCAGACAAGCTGTTGGCTTCATATGTCACTTCTGAGAGCCAATGCCAAGTTCAGATATATGTGTACGTGTATGTATCCAGCACCAGTCTCTAAGCTGAGCACTAATTCTCCATCTCCATTTGCCTGCTGGATGTATCTACCTAGATGTCCCTATCCATACCACTAACTCTGCCTATCTGAAACAAAACTCCTCCTCTTTGTCTTCACTCTGCATCATCTCCTAGCATCCACCTACAAATCGCCATTCCCAGTGACCCAGGATCAAAAATCTTGAGGAGATATAGTACAGAGAGCACTGAACTTGCATTTTGAAGAGATGGGGATTAAACCTGAGCCCTGCCTCTTATTACCTATGGCACTTTGAGGACTTTTCATCTCTAAGACTTAGTTTTCCTCGTGTGAAAAAAATAAGGAAATTGGATTAGATTATCTCTGTCACATGGGCTGAACATTCTATCATTTTTGACTCTTTGTCCCCCCCTCGCTTCCCATACCTCATCAGTTGCCAGTGTCTTCCACATATATTCCTTCATTTTCATGCATTCTATTAGTAATTTCCATATTGTGTCCTTCATTAGACTGTGAACTTCTTGAGAACAGAGGCT